GGTGCATGCCAAGTTCATACAATTCTTTGGTATTTGAACTTTTCTAGTGCTTTTCATCTACTGTAAGATTACATTACAGTAGTAAAATGAAAAAGATTTTTTCCCAAAAGTTCATTGCTGAATTATACATCTGTATCTGTAATTTAGTTTATGTATACTGTAATAGACATTGAGCTGCAAAAATAATTCCTGAATCCTAGTAAGAGTTTTTTTTGTTACAGTGTTATTGATCTGTGTTCACAGGGCAGCAAAGTCATCTGTGTATTTGAATTGTAAGCATTTACAGTTTTTTTTCAACTGGTTACACACAAAATCTTTACTTGTCACACAATTTCTGATCCCATACTTGAAAAAAACCTGTAAGAAAAACTGTAATAACTAGATTGAAAAGTTTGAAAGGCAAATTTATGCTGGCTTGTCTTAAAATCTTGTTTAAAAAACGTAAATGGTTTGGTCAGTTAGATGTTCTAGATGTTTGATAAAGTGTTGCTAGTTGGTTGCTAGGCTCTTGCTATGCAGTTGCTGGGGTGTTGCTAGAGTATATGGTTGATAGAGTTTGTTCTGGGTAATTACAGACATTCCCACCTGTGATAAACTTGGACCTTCTGAATCCCTCATGATGTCACAGGTCAGAGACTGACCCTACCTGTCTATAAATGGTGTGTTAAATTAGGATTTTCCAAGATTTACAAACAGTTAAACCACCATATCTACTTTACACCCATAGTAGCCCACACAACTGGTATGCAAAGAGAATATTTAAAAGTGCAAGTTATATTCTGGTCTTAAGAGTTTGTACAATGGCTAAGGACGCAGCAGCTTGCCACTTACTCTCACACATATTTAACCTATTAATTTATTCCACAGTCAAAAAAAAGTACTTTTCGGTCGAATTCATGTGAGTGCACATTTTAAATCTTTTTTACAATCACAATATTTTTGTGTTAAAACGGCATCATATACTGTATGTACTTTTCTGTTAATCTTGTAGCTGCATATGCATCAGAGTACATTACAGGATTTTATATTTTCTATATGTAGTAGAACAATGGTATTCATCTTTATTCTAATCCAGAAACTGCTTATAGTCGAATGAGAGGTCAAATAAACACTTAAGGGGGTCAAAAGGGACCTCAGTCTGTCTCAGAGGTCAAAGCCATCAAAAGCGTGTCCTTTCTTCCCTGTGGTGGGGGGACTTCTGAGTGACCAGAGCATCATCACAGTACGCCATTCTTACAGATGTTTACTTTCAGAACATCTGGAGCCCACACAAGGTCACTGAAGGGTCTAGAACATCATTTGAACTCCATATAAGGGCACGGCCAGCTGGAGGACATTGCATGCGCAGACAGTCAAAGGCATTCTGACGGTGGAAAACACATCCTCTCTCTTACCGTCTGCATCTGAGTGTGCGTTTCTCATCTTGAGGCATGAGACACGATTGCAACACTGAATGCTTTTACAAATGTCAAGTTTGCTTTGCGCACTACAGGGAAAGTGGTTATGAGTTTGGACTGCTTGGAGAGATAAAGCATGTTTGTGTGTGTATGAGACTTACCATCTGTTCTTTGGGATAAACAAAACACGTCTGATGTGTGCGGCATCTTCCACAACGTCTTGTTCCTGTGATATCAAGTTACATGTTGTGCTTCCTTATCTACAATTAAATATCTTCAACATGTACTAATCACTTTCATTACTAGAAACATCCATCAGGATTTGTACTTTTAAGGTTCATTGTAACTCGTCTCGCTTATCATATGTTAAACATCCAAGCATTAAAACAGGCTTCAGGCTTTCACTTGAACTTTTATTAATACATCATTCCACATATATAACCAAATGGGTGTTATCTTTATCTAACAGAAACAGTGCTTTGGTTAGAAGCTTCCCGTTAGTACTGATCCTAGACACAACCTGTTCATTCACCTAAAGATGAAGATTAAATCTTAAAACTGTTCATTTCTGATCTTCTGTAGAACACTAAAACAGGATATTTGGAGAATGTCCAAGCGGTGATGTACCTTGGTCAAGCTCCAAAATGGACAAAACACAGTAAAACTGCCAAAAAGTCTCCCAAATAGCTTCCAATTCTCATTCACCCTTTTGTTCAACTGAAAATATTCAAATAGTGAGATCAGCCGTAAGAAACCTGAACCAGTTTTATTTGATATCATTCAAACCAGACATGGCACAATGCTTCTTAAAGCGGAATGTTTTAATACTTACAAACACGATTTGAAAGCTATGACAGAGATTTTTGGTGAGCATTTTGCATTTCAGTCTGCTCATTATCATACAGCTTGAATATATAGTGCATGTGTCTTATGAAGATGAACTGTTTTGATGCTTTTTCCAGTACTTTCATTGAATGGAAAAGAGCAGCTTGGACATTCTGCAAAATAACTCCTTTTGTGTTTTACAGAGGAGAGAAAATTCGGTTTTGGAACAACATGAGGTAAATTCATTTTTAGATAAACCATTTCCTTAATTCAGGCTTTAAAAAGCATCAAAACTGGTCTCAGATCAGCTACAGAGGGCAACTTTTACCTGTCTATACTAAGCAAAAGGATAACCATAGGAGTACAATAGATATGGAAGATAAGAGAGAAAGCATTCAAACCAGACATGGCACAATGCTTCTTAAAGCGGAATGTTTTAATACTTACAAACACGATTTGAAAGCTATGACAGAGATTTTTGGTGAGCATTTTGCATTTCAGTCTGCTCATTATCATACAGCTTGAATATATAGTGCATGTGTCTTATGAAGATGAACTGTTTTGATGCTTTTTCCAGTACTTTCATTGAATGGAAAAGAGCAGCTTGGACATTCTGCAAAATAACTCCTTTTGTGTTTTACAGAGGAGAGAAAATTCGGTTTTGGAACAACATGAGGTAAATTCATTTTTAGATAAACCATTTCCTTAATTCAGGCTTTAAAAAGCATCAAAACTGGTCTCAGATCAGCTACAGAGGGCAACTTTTACCTGTCTATACTAAGCAAAAGGATAACCATAGGAGTACAATAGATATGAATAGATATGGAAATGAATGGAAAGTGTACCACTCCAGCCAGATGCAAATGAAGAGAAAGAGAGGGAGAAAGAGCTGGAACCCGTTGCAGGAACACCAGAAGCGCATGGCAGAAATGCACCGGTCTTAACCAGACTCCAGGACCTGTCAGAGACACTTCACTTGTTCCAATACACTGGCTCACTAATGTCTCAGTAGATACTAATGGGGAAGGTAATCTTATTCTTGGAGGCTATTTTTAAGTCCATTTCAATGCCAATAAACATTCTGTGCAGATTAAAAGTTTCAAAGTTTCCTACTTGTCCACATTATTTTCCCTAGAACTTCCATTACACAGGCAGCATTTTCAGTTCTTGAATTTTCCATGGCTCTCACGCATTCATGTGTTTACATTCACAATCTTACGATTATGTTTAACAATCTGAAAACATGTAAGGCCATGTAAATGCCATAAACTTTTCTTTTATCAAGTAAATGTCAAAACCCATATGGCACATAAACTGGCGGTTTATTAAACATGCACATGTCTGTTTACATTTTGACATTTTCGACGTTTTCTTGTGTTGTCAAATTGTTTATGAGCAAATTCTTGATAGTTATTGGCATTTTACAGTATGTCTAAACTGACATACGAAGATTTTTCTAAGGGTTTTTATTTTTTTCCAACTCTCCCTGATAATTTGCGGTCACATTTGCAAAATTTCAACAAGATTTTGCAGGCAAACAAATTATATTTTCCATTTTCAATAGCTGAGGGATGTATGATACACAGCTCACAGAGAAGTCACCTTCAGAAGCTGTGAATCTGCATGATCAACTTGAACACAAGTGAAATCTGCATGTGAAACTCCCAATCGCATAGATTCCTCTTGAAATCACTGGATTTTGCCTGCGAAATTTCGCCGAGCAGCGGTAAATGTGATCGCAACTTAAAGAGCTTTGCAGGTGTACTGGAACAGAGAAGTCTTCCATAAAACACTATGAAATATAGATCAGGAGGCCTAGTTTATTACTAAGTGAAACGACACCACCAAATATTACTTTTAAAAGCACTTGTTGTGCTGCCTTCACATGGACAGTGGTATCTTAAGACTTTGCTAACACCAAGTTTATAACACAAAAGAGACCACAATGAACAAGAAGAAAGAAACAGCAAACAACAATGTACATAAGGTTACAGAGTAATGCCGAACCACTGATCCTATCCATGCACCAGTAAGGCAACCTACATTGTCTTATCTTTTAATTCTTCTGTATAAAGTTATAGTTTAACTGTACTATGAGCTCTATTACTCCTAATTCTACAGCTTTTGCTTGGATTGCTGCTATCATATTTGTAATCAGAGTCTATAGGGTGGAAGGGTTCGGTTAAACACCCCCTCTCACACACATTTTGCAATGTAGCTTGTTATTCGTCTACTTACATTCCACAAAACATTTGCGTCTGCAAACAAAGCACATTTGTTTGGGACTATTCCATTAACTAATTCTGTGCAGCACTCCTAGTGCCTGATATGAATTAAAAGCTTCATGGTTTACAATGATAAAATATATCAATTTCAAAAGTTTTTTGTAAGGTTTGATTCATTTTTTAAATCTATTCTCTGGAAAGAAATACTGCACGGATTGACTCATTTTAAAGGCTGCAACAGTGGCTGTGTGTATGCGGTGTGTGTGTGTGTGTGTGTGTGTGTGTGTGTGTGTGTGCAGATGTATTGCCTCACAAATCTTTAGTTTTAATGAGTGTGACTAAAGGCTTGTCATCAGGGCTGTAATCTTCATAACTGATGGGAGTCGCATCATACATTGCTGGTCTGGATTTCTTCCCAAACCTGTAACACACACAAAGGAATAGGACATTTTTGTTGTTGAATAGTTGTTTGATCTCATGAGCCTAATAGCCTGCAATGACCCGGTTTGACCAGTGTGGCGCTGTAGTACAAGACTGTAATTCAGCCCTCTTGGCTGCAATCCAGTAATAGAAGAAGACATGCTTATGAGAATGGTGCGTTCAAGTCATGTTGGATAGATCGTATTTACGAGTTGAACGCACATGAACGCCACCACAAAGTCATTATTACGAGTGGGAAACTCAAAATTTTCTTTAAGCCCCGAGTTTCCGAGTTGCGGGCGTGTCAATGAGAAACATGGCGGAATCGATGGATGCAACGTCTGTAGTTGACGGTAAATTTTTGTTTAAATTGATAGTTTAGTTGTCCTATAAACTTAAATTGGTTATGTTCTTGTTACGCAGCTGAAATCCAAGTAAAAAAATGCAGACCCTGTTGTATTTTCTTGTAATTTATTAAAAGAAGGTACACCGCCATCTTGTGCCGACTAAACTGACTTGAACGCACCTGACGTCGTAATTACGACTTGTAAACTCGTAAGTACGAACGTCCCAGGAGGACTTGAACGCAGCAGAAGTGCAAACGAAACCGAACCAGTAGAGTGTAAGAAAGTTTTACGAAACTACAAACAAAAAAAATGCTGTCATGTTTAAATCCCCCGATATACTCACGGCACAGGTCGCTTCACTTCACTTAAAGGGATAGTTCACCCAAAAATGAAAATTTACACTCATAGATTTTGTTACCATTGCCATGCATTATACGACTGATAGACTGCAACGGTTGGACTTAAAAATCATCAAATGTGTTCTACTGAAGAAACAAAGTCACCTACATCTTGGATGCCCTGGGGGTAAGCAGATAAACATCAAATTTTCATTTTTGGGTGAACTATCCCTTTAAGGGTTAAAAAAAGTTTGCTATAAGCAAGAAGTGGTTTACTGTTAGCGAACATCCCAGCGCTGCTGCGAGCAGGGTTTAGATGAATATGCAAATATGTGCTGCACATTTTTCTCTCAGAAACGAAATAAACACACAACAAAAATGAAAGCGGTGAGAAAACAGCTGTTAAGAAAGCATCTGATCATAGTGATCTGGATAAGTTTGCACCAGTTCTGCAACTGGCACTACAGTAAAGTCACATCACGTTTATATATTTGTATAACACTTTATGCAATAGACTGCTTTAAAGCATGCAGCTTTACAGTATTAAACATGAGAAACAGTGTCAGTGTCAATTTCAGTTAGAGTTACAACTTTTATTTTCTGCTATAAAGCAGCTCTATATGTATATGAATGTATAGAATATGTATAATTCAATATTTAAACGAACTGCAAAAGCTGAATAATTGATCAAAGCCTAATGATTAATCTGTGAAAGAATCGAATCGTTCCAATAAACGTTAGATTAATTGATTATCAAAACAATCATTTGTTGCAGCCCTACAAAAACTAAAATTCTGTCATTAATTACTCCCCCTCATGTCGTTCCAAACCCGTGAGACCTTCGTTCATCACACAAATTAAGATATTTTTGATGAAATCCGAGAGCTTTCTGTTCCCTTGCTGCATAGACAGCAAGGGAACTACTACGGTCAAGGCACAGAATAAGGACATCCATAAAATAGTCCATGTGACATCAATGGTTCAAGCTTAATTTTATGAAGCTATGAGAATACTTTTTGTGTGCAAGAAAACAAAAATAACGACTTTATTTAACAATTTCTTCTCTTCCCTGTCAGTCTTCGATGCGCGTCCTTGCTGCCTTTCTGGGCCTTGAACATGTCAGTTGCGATGCTGTCAGTGTAGGGTCAGAAAGCTCTTGGATTTCACCAAAAATATCTTAATTTGTGTTCCGAAGATAAACGAAGGCCTTACGGGTTTGGAAGTACATGAGGGCAAGTAATTATGGGTGAACTGTCCCTTTAAGTTGTATTAGAAAGAGCAGACTGAACATTCTTTAAAAATATCTTCTTTTGCGTTTTACAGTTGAAAACATAAAAAAAGGCATATAAACACAATATATTACCTCGCGTGGCGAATAGAGGCGATGGCGTTGCTGAAATCACTGTCGATACTGCGGCAGTTGTAAAACTCCTGGTAGGTGTGACGGGAGGAGCCCTGGTACTCGATACGGCTGATGCGACAGATGCCAACGATGAGGATGATGAGCATCAAGACGAAAGCCACGCACAGAGCACCAATGATTATGTACAGAGAGTGACGTGGCATGTTGGTCAGCGAGTCGACCGGCTGAGCCATCTTCCACTGCAGATCTGAGAAAATGAAGAGAGAAAAGAAAGTGTGAATGGGTGTCTTCTTGAGAAAAACTTGCGCTATGCTATGTGGTTGCTAAGGACTTCTGTTATAAAGTTGCTAGGGTGTTCTGGATGGGGCATTGCTAGGGGGTTCTGGGTGACTGGGTGCAGATCCTTACATTTACAACAGCAGTCTAGCTGATGAAATGCTTTAATAACAGCCACAGACCAAGCGTCATCTAGCAAGGTCATACACACACCCATAAACACAGTGGGATATTCCTGAGAATCTCTGAATGGCCAGTTATTTCAGAGAGTCACATGGCTCCGCCTCCTCGCACGTCACAGTCATCCTGTCCCTCCCTGCTGCCACAATGATGTGAGCTGGCGGAACGTGAGGAGGTTCACAGGAAGCTAATGGTGCTGAGTCACAGCTGCCATAAAAGGCAGGAGCACGTCACTCCTCAGAGGACCCCTGTACACATAACAATGTCCTTGAGGCCTAAGTCGTCACGGAAAAATGACTGAACTGCCACAAGCAAAGCAAGAACACCGCATCCCTTTAAGTTGCTGGCCCCATGGATGATTTTAAATCATATTTGTGTTTTGTTATAAATAAAATAATTATAAATAATTTACGATTATGCAATAACTACGTAGTGTTTGTAGTTAGGAAGTCTGGCGTAAACTCACGGATCTCACAGCTTCCGCCGACCCACCCAGAGGGGCAGTGACAGGTGTAGCCGTTTGATTGGTCGATGCAGGTGCCGCCATGGTGACATGGGTTGCTCTCACACTCATTGATGTCAACCTCACAGTTCTCACCTACAAAGAGACAAAAAGGCAGAATACAGACCTACTATCAACATTCTGCTCAAAATACACAATGGCTATGTTTGGAATGCATACTAGTCTAATAGATACTGCATACTGTGCAGTAAAACAATACAAGAGCAAGTTATCTTAAAAATGAAAAAAATATTTTGCATGTTTAATCCAACTTGTGCAAAAAATGTTATAATGGCTGTCTGATCAAATGGTGGAAATTGATAGTCAAGTTGAATGCAATGCATTGCGTGATATTGTGAAGCGTGCCATATTCCGCACTTACAGTACATTGGCAAATATATTAAGTTAGGGCTTTTCCAACTGGAGTCCATGAAAAGGTTTACAGAAAACAGAGTAAAAAAAAAGGTAAAATTAAATAATAATGAAAAAAGATTACACAAAATAAAAAGTGGATTATATCATTTTTATTAAAATAAATCTAACAGTATGGTACTATAGGCAAAAAAGGTAAAAAAAAAAATAAAAAATACCATTACACAAAAGAAAAGCTGATTACAATCAAAAATAAATCAAAAGATAATGAAAATAAATAAATACAGGGCAGTGACAGGTGTAGCCGTTTGATTGGTCGATGCAGGTGCCGCCATGGTGACATGGGTTGCTCTCACACTCATTGATGTCAACCTCACAGTTCTCACCTACAAAGAGACAAAAAGGCAGAATACAGACCTACTATCAACATTCTGCTCAAAATACACAATGGCTATGTTTGGAATGCATACTAGTCTAATAGATACTGCATACTGTGCAGTAAAACAATACAAGAGCAAGTTATCTTAAAAATGAAAAAAATATTTTGCATGTTTAATCCAACTTGTGCAAAAAATGTTATAATGGCTGTCTGATCAAATGGTGGAAATTGATAGTCAAGTTGAATGCAATGCATTGCGTGATATTGTGAAGCGTGCCATATTCCGCACTTACAGTACATTGGCAAATATATTAAGTTAGGGCTTTTCCAACTGGAGTCCATGAAAAGGTTTACAGAAAACAGAGTAAAAAAAAAGGTAAAATTAAATAATAATGAAAAAAGATTACACAAAATAAAAAGTGGATTATATCATTGTTATTAAAATAAATCTAACAGTATGGTACTATAGGCAAAAAAGGTAAAAAAAAAATAAAAAATACCATTACACAAAAGAAAAGCTGATTACAATCAAAAATAAATAAAAAGATAATGAAAATAAATAAATACATACTACATCTAACTTACAGTACTACAGGTAAAAAAAAGTATCTTAATGCTCTTATCTATTTTTGCTAAATATTTACCTAATTATTAGAAACCAAATATTTATCAAACAATATTTTACACAATAGATATAAATCGGGACTGTATACATGAACATATATAGCTGCCTTTTAAAATCCTTGTCCCTTTGCACAAGTATGATCATATTTAGAGGTGTGTGGATTCTAATAGATTCAAAATCCCTATATTAGAAGTTGTAGTATGGTAATATGTTATTCCGAACCCAGCCAAAGACACAAATATATCATACATATATAACAAACACTAATATTCACCCGTATATCCTGTAGGACACACACAGGATGCGTTTCTCCCTCCACTCTCACAGCGTCCTCCATTCTGGCACCTGAGCCTCAGACAGGGGTCCTTATATATCTCACAGTGCTTACCTGAAATAACCCACAACACATTAATCACGTGTCTTTTTTACTGACATTTTTAACTCCAAGTGCATGAAACGCACCTGTGAACTGTGGGGCGCAGATGCACTCGTAGGCATTGATCAGGTCTCTGCATGTGGCGTAATTCTGACAGGGAGCAGACAAGCATTCATTATACTCCTCCTCACAGTACAGACCATGATAACCTAAGAGAGTAGATAGAAAAACACAAAATTATTGTCTGTAGCAATCAACAGCATGTCATAGATGTGGTCGATAGAGCTTAAGCTGTATTTCACCTTAAATGTTCCTAGAGAGCCACTAGAGAGCAGTGTTCAGTTTAGTTGGGGTTTACAGGATGAGGTCAGCAGGAGCAAACTGATGGCACGGATGACTGAGAAAAATGGTGTTCTCTGTATTGTGTATATACACTGTATATATTGATCCATAGATATCGTCATTAAATGGCTCCATTTCTTTGTTCTGTTTCAAAGTTTAAAAATTGGAGTAAGGGATCTGTTTAAATCGCTAACCCCAAGTAAGAGCAATAGCAATAGTGATGCTAAAGATCAAAGTAAAAACACTGAACGCAGAGCATTTCAAAGTATACTGCATTTGATATTGTGCGCAAACACAATTCTCTGCAGAAAATGTGGTTACTTTACAAAGTGACCGCCAACTACTGGCCTGGTATCAATAATACAGCAATTTCAGTTGTTTCGCAGATCCATGTGAATGGTGATCATTCTGATAAAGAAGTAATTTGTATACAAAATATTACTAATGCACATTTATTACAGCAATAAAATAACATAACTATCTGTGAAAAAGTGCATAATGTTTATAAACCAAATATAATTAAGTTGCTTAATTATAAACAAAAAAGCATCCTGCATAGTTTAATACAAAGGGACGAAAGGCAATCACACAGAATATAGGATGCAGTGGGATGGGAAAAAAAAAAACCTGCCATAAAGTCCCGAAACATGTTTTTTAAAAGTTGAACTTATACTTTAATTTTACATGGCTTTCTAAACCATAGACTGTAAAAAAAAGATGGACGACGCGTCTCCACTTCCTTCCACTATAGAAAAGTGAAGCCAAAGCATCTCAGTATGGCCGCTGCCATTTTGAGTAAATGACGTAATTTGGAGCCAGAGTCTGCGCAGAAGAGATTTGTTTGGACCCAGAGTCTGCGCAGTAGTGTCGTGGGGTGGAGCCGCGGTATCAAACTCCCACCCAAACTCCCACAGACCCAATCAACCATACCGACATGCCCCGTTTTTATAGCATCAAATTACTAGCTAAAATCAAACTAATCACAAAAACGAACAGTTGAACATGTATCAGCGTGATAACAACTACCTTAAATGACCAAAACCATCATTCGGAAAATTGTATTGGAAGTGTAATTAATTTTTTTATTTTGACTCAAGTCCCATTCGTTTACATGGAGAGGGCGAGGTTTATGACTTGTACTGCAGCCAGCCACCAGGGGGCGATCAAAGAGTCTGCAGCTTCCCTTTTCAGGACATGCGAGGCACACCCGTTCTAAACATGCGCCTCTGTTGTGTGAGACGCGAGTGCAACATTGATAGATGTCCCTCTAGAAAATGCGCAAAATATGCATTCTGTGTGAATGGCTTGGTTTCAGTTTTGATGTAAACAACATCTTCTCTGCATTGATGTTCTCTTTTCCCGCAATGTTTTGAATAAGCACCGCAGCATTGCCGCATCTAGTGGGTTCAACTGGATAGACTAACAAAAACATTAAAAAGCAACGACACATCATCATTGCATTTTCAGCGCCACGCTACCTGACGCACAACTAACATTCGAATGCAGCGTTTTTGCATTCAAATGTGGATTTTATTTTTAAGTTCGAGGAATAATCAAAATTCAAATTTTTATTTGACAGCCCTACACTACCACCTTGTGAAAAAACTAATTAGTGCAAAAAAAATGAGTGTGCATGAGCTTACAGAGTGTGTGTGGTTAGAAAAATCAGGCTGTGATCGTGCAGTACATGCATATGATGATAGTGAAATTTACGTAAACTCCATTTCATTGTGTGCTGGAACACAAACGCTTGACATATGCGCACTAGAAAGCCTCATCCTCGTCCAGTGTCTGTGCTATTTCTCTCCAGAAGTTATGAGCGATAAAAATATATTTCTACTTGGTTAAATTAGAGTTATGGGTATTTCTTAAAACTTTCACACAACTGCTTATCAAGACATGCTGGGAAACAAAAGTTCGGACCAGTGTTGTGGCAAGAATGTGCATGGTTTGGGCTGTGCTTATACAGTACATGCATTCTATGCTGATAATTAAATTTACGTCATGCACACATCATGAACTGTATGTATACCTTAGTGCAGTGTTTCCCAACCGGGGTGCTGTCTGTCGAGAGTTGTCATTTTTTATTCAATTCAAAGTTTGAGTGAGCAAAAATGTGTGAGATAGCTAGTTATAATGGTAATTAAATAATGTTTACATATGTATAAAAGCCTACATTAGAAATTAGCCTACTGATTGCCACCATTGATGGACAAAAAATTTTAATAATATAAAAAATATCTGTATGACATTATATTCTGCAGTTCTTCCCTGTTGTACCGAATATCGATACTTTTCAAATTATCACATCGAAGTTAGAAATTCAAATATTGTGACAAAATTAATTTTGTAGGGTGCCACAAGTTTGTTAAAATTTCCAAAGGGTGCCGCGACTAAAAAAAGTTGGGAAACACTGCCTTAGTGTATGTGTAAAAAATAGAGTAAACTTTGGCCTTTTTTTGGGCTTTTACTCTGCAAACATCACTAATTAGTATCCCAGGCTGAGAATGCTGCCATTAAATCATTTGATCATTTGTTTTGCTGATGATCATTTTGTGTTTACTGAGTGTGCAAATCTCAGCAATCCCACCGGAACGGGCATTTGTCGTCAGAAGTGTCATCTTCATAGCACCATCACATTGAGCATTACTTGCAATCCCACCGGAGAACGTTTAGGTCCCATCGGAGCAGGGTGATATCAGTGGATAGACTGATCCGGCTGCACAGCTGGTGCAGTCACACTTCATAGACAATGATGTCTGAGCACGCAATACACAGGAGGCAGTTGCCATGGCAACCTGACCTAGTTGGAGGGAATGCAAGGGAGAGACACAGCTATGAGCGGAGGCCAATGAGATCCTCACCTGGTACACACAGACACCTATAACTAGTGCCGATGCTGCGGCAGATGCCGTGAGCGCATGGGTTGAGGGCACAGAAGTCCACTAGCTGGGCGCAGGTGGGTCCGGTGAAACCTGCAGGACAGGTGCAGCTGAAGCCCAAACCAGCACCCTGTGGGTAGCAGCTGGCATTATTGTGGCAGGGCCCAGAAGCACAGAGATCAATCTTCTGCTCGCACATGGCACCCTGATAACCTAACAGAGAGAAAGAGACTAAGATGTGCAGTATTGCATAAAGAAACCAGTTTGAGTCTGATGCAGTTCATTTGATCTGAACATTTCATAGGGCCTTAAAAATGTAATTTTTGTCATAAATTGCTGTTTAATATTTAAGTTTCATGTTTTCAATTAATTAAACCTGCGTTTTGATGAATACAATTTAATTTAACCATTAAAACAGAGTCTAGAAAAATTAAAACGGGAAAAAATGGAATCAAGAAAAATTTAAAGAAAAAAATAAAGTACAATTTGGGAAAAAATGAAACGGATTTCATACGGCCCTATGGTTGTTGATTGGATGTTGAGATGTGGGTGTTGCACTCAGAGACGAACATGAGCTTGTAGGGTTGTGTTTGAATCGATAAATAGTAAAAGATTTTGGTCACAATGCCAGAACTATTGGTTTTATACACAGATGAGTGACAAAATAAAGGAAAAACCCTGTATGAAGTGTCTTAGTAAGGTTGGGCAACCACTACTGCCAGAGCAGCTGCAATGCACATTGGCATTCTGTAAATCTCTGGAAACTATTGGATGGATGAAGCACCACAGTATTCCCTTATTTGGCATTTCAATGATGATGATGATGGAGAACCTTAAAAATCGAAATGTGTTCGACTGGGTTGAGATCAGGTGGATTTTCCTTTGCATTTATCAGCTGTTTGCTAAAAAAACAGAATTCTGTATATAAGTGTGTGCAGGCACACATGTACAGTGTATGTTTGTTTTTATGCATTTGTAGTCTCCTCTTACTAACATGCACGCACCAGCAGATTACAAGCTTGGTGGCTATGATCCCCCCAATAAATGTCAATCGCACACAGAGAAATAGAGCTCAGTGCGCTGATCCGCCCACAGTTTCCCTTACGGAAGCGCTTTCATGCATTATCTTAATGAAACTCTCGCAGCCTGACAGAGCCAACATGAATGTGCTTCACTGCCAGTATTAGAGGAATAGTTCACCCAAAATTGAAAATACATTATTTATTTATCCTCATGCCATTCCATGTCGTTCCAAAACCGTATGCTTTTATTCTTTAATTTTTTTGTGGAACACAAAAGGTGAAACTAGGACAGATCATTGTGATCACGACTGTCAAGCTCCAGCAAAAAAGCACCTTGACAGCCGTCCATTTAACTTGTGTACTGTTTAATTTTTCTGAAGTCAAACGTACATGTAGGCTCAAATCAATGTCAATGTTGATATCAATTTTATCAAAAGACATCATTGTTGTAATGTGTCTCATGACCAAACCTCACTGACATCAAACATCACACAGCTGGTACCATATTTCATTTGAGAGCTTCATTGTAGGGGAAGATTTGCAGTGAATGATTTCAATTTTAGTCTGTCTCTTACACAAATCCATTGTATGGAACATAGTGCATAAGTAATTTGGACTATTTTATAGTGCATTTATGGCGATTCATAAATGCGAATAATACCAACTGTGATTGTATGATAAACTGCTTTGAAAAAATCATCCGATTGTGTTCCACTGAAAGAATATATTTACATTTATACATTTTCTTATCCAAAGTCACTTACAATAGAAGAGAATAACCAATTTTGCAACATTCACAGTATACAATGCCACGTTTATTAAAAAGCTATAGAGCAGAGGAGAAATGCAGAGAAGAGGAAGATTTAGGGTTGTACAGTGGTTAAATGCTGGTGGAAAAAAATGTCTTCAGATGCTTCTTGAAAGCAGAAAACTTCTTGAAAGTTGATGGTTTCAGCAGTTTGGGTGAAGGATAGTAGCTCATTTCAACAGAGAAGGGAAGAAAGGGTGACAGCTCTTTGTAGCGACTTTGTAGAAGTTAAAAAAAATGAAAGCATACAGGTTTAAAACGACACGTAGAATAATGAAAGAATTTTCATTTTTGAGTGAACTATGTCTTCCCTGTTTCGAATGGTACTAAAGGTTCGATTCCAACCGAATGCTTTTCATTGCTGTTTTTCGGTCGTTTCTATTACCATCCAGAGTTTGAATGGATGGTTCAGCCCTGAGATGCCGAAATAGCTATTAACTGCCTCACATAGTTGTTGAAATATTAAAAGCCATACCCTGAGCTGTAGCACACTAATTAGAAATGTGCTAATGGTGCCACTTTCCTTATTGCTTCAGCGTTCCTTGTGTTTCAAACGGTGGCTTACAGTGCCCCCGTTCACACCGCAAGATTAATATTTCAGCCTACGAGTGCATTTCTGCCACCAAAGTTCAAGGGACTCCTATCAAATTTCCTTTCTAGTCTGTTTCTAGTGCTTCTTCAGGAAGAAGAAGCGTTTGTGTCCCTGTTCTATCTGCTGACTGAGAGCGTGCCCTGGTTAGAGAGAGAGCCAGCGCTGAAGGTGCGGTCCTCCTGAGAGAGAGAGGGTGGCGCTGGGCTGTGTTTCACGATTAATTGGATGAAAGGAAGAGAGTTTAAAATAAGCAACTCTCTGACACACTTAGAGAGAGCAAGAGGAGAAGGAACAGAAATAGAGCTCGAATCAGGACGATTTAAGCTTAACGCACACATACACTTGCAAACATACACACCGAGACAAGCACACAACAGATTGTGATCGTTGCAGACATGATTTCATGAGAGGAGGCTATTAATAAATACCTTCAGCACAATAGCAGTGAGGTCCTTCTAGGCTGCTGGAGCAAGTGGCTCCATTCCTGCAGGGTCCAGAAACACAGTGATCTACCAATGACTGACAGCGGTCTCCCTCAAAACCTAAAACACACACACAGAGTGTATTATTATTTAAATGTTCCATAACACATCCGAAATTAAAAACACATTACATTTGAATGCATCATACATAGAATTTATCAGTTTTAGTGACCGATAATCACTTTTCCTTAATCGTATATCAGTTTTGTAATATCAGACACCGATATTATAAATAAACATGTTTAACAAACACATGAGAGTGTTTGTCATTTGCTGCAGATGTGACACTCTGTAAAAGACTAAAAATTGTACTGTCAGCAGGTATTTCATAACCTATTTTAGACCGCAACAAAAATATGAATAATTCTGATAATATGTAATTTGAAAAGGACACTAATGTAAAGTATTTACTGTTTTCTTTGTAACTTCTGACAATGTACAATTATTCCAGGGAACTAGTATGACTATTAAAGGGGTCATATGGTTTCAGTTTTTCCTTTCTCTTTCCAAAGAGTCAAATCCAAAGAGATATTCTTTATAAAAGTTAAGAGTCAGCCACACCTACCTAAAACGGCTCGTTCTAACACGCCCCCACATATCTACATCACTATGTGGGAAGATTTGCATAACGCCGCCCAAATGTTCACGCAAAGAAAGAAGGCATAACTTTTATTCTAGCTGTAGTATTGTTGCCGCCGCCGCCATGTTGTGGAGATGCTGTGTGATTCGTTGTGAAAGCGAAACTACTAGAACGATGAGCTTTGTAAAAATCGACACGTTTCAGAAAGGCGGGGCATAGAGGAGCAACAATAATGTACATTGTGGAAAATAATGTTTTTTTTTAACCTTAAACCGCATAAACACATTGCATTATACCAAATACACAAAATAATGTTATTTTTAGCAACATCATATGACCCCTTTAAAGTAAAACATTAAATATATATCAGTTATCAGCATTCATATAAGCATTCAAATAATTGGTATTGGTATTGGTTAGGGCTGCACGATTAATCGCATGCGATATTTAACGCGCATCTTATCAGTAAAGCCGGTTCTGTAATCAGCGGTAAATCTCCATCACCTGCGTGCTTTCACATTGAGCAGCATTAACTACACAGAGCCGTTGTTCACTGACGAGCTGTGCTAAACCACGTTCATATTCGCGCGATTTTTTGCGCAGCTCATCAGTGAACAATGGCTCTGTGTAGTTAATGCTGCTCAACGTGAAAGTACGCTGGTGATGGAGATTTACCGCTGATTACAGAACCGGCTTTCTGACAAGATGCGCGTTAAATATCGCATGCGATTAATCGTGCAGCCCTAGTATTGGTTATAGAATTTCAATATCGGTCAATCGCTAATACACACACACACACACACACACACACGCACACACATATTTGTTTGTGGTGGGAACTTTTCATTGACTTCCATTGTTTTTACATTAAGCTAAAGATATTTTTATCCCTAAAACTAAACCTAACAAAAATAGCATTTCACATTTTTATCAAGACATTATTTAGCATGTTTATTAAGATGTTTTCCTCATGGGCATGTTGTTGATTTTTAGGTTTTAAAACACACAGACAGATTGTATTATCTCAGTTTGCCATAACAAATCTGAATTTAAAAAACATTCCATTTTAATGCATCATACAAACTAGAGAATGACCAATAATCGGTTTAAGTGACCGATAATCAGTTTTCCTTAATTCAATATCGGATCCACCGACAATGTATAATTATACACAGCTAGGGAACTAGTTGTGTTTGCATGATATATAAAGTAAAACATAAAATAAATATTAATTTTGCATATCAGTTTTCAGACATATACAAACAATCTGCATTGTTATCGGTTATCATAAAATCTATATCGGTCAATCTCTAATACACAAGCAAACATTTTTTTGGTTGGAACTTTCCTTTGAGTTCTACTATTTTTATATTGAACTAAAAACCCTCACGAAAACCTTTTTGCATTTTTTACTTTTTCATTATGACATGATGCCATTTTCCTCATGGGGGATATTGGTGATTTCAGGTTTTCCTATCCTTGTGTGAGCATTTAGTCCTTGTAATGTTGATAAAACCTGACTCACACATACAAATGGCTGCAGTAAACACAATCTGTTATTTTCCTTCAGATAAAAACAGTGAGAAAAAAAAAATCGAACAAAGCCTTCAGTTATAAACCAACAAGAATCAGTTGGCCAAAGCAGGCTGGCTGCTTTTCTTACAACACCACAAATTAACATCATTTATGCCCTCCTGTGTTCTCCAGATAATCCTCTTACAAAAATGGATGGAACGGTAAACAGTGTTTGTTTGTGTGCTTGCATGACTTCCACTAGACATTAACAGATATGCCTTGCAATCAGCATGTCCATGACAGCATTTCTTAAAAAGGCACAGTTGTTTCTTCTGGAAGGCTTTAAATAACAGGCTCAAAATAATCTTCATTTGCATGATCAAAGGCACAAATCCCCGACCTTCAATGTCTCTTGCTCAACCTTTATTTTGTTCTTCCTTTTCCATTTTCTTCCCCTGCCCTATTTTTCCATTTAAAGCATCATTAGAGCATTAAAGCTCTGTGCTTTGCCCAAGGTTAATCTCCATTATTCACAAAAACAGACACAAGACAGCACATGCATACACACAATTCATAAGGACATTGCTTCTTGCTAGATTCCTGTTATGCAAATACTCAGAGCTATTTCATGTTAATATTTTGAATGTATTTCAATGAATAAAAGCACATTGTAGGTGGTTTTTAATGTATTTAATAAAAATGTTTGATGTTTATGTAGAACTAACTAGGGAAAGGGAATTTTACAGCAAAACTAATACTAAATGCTATTCTTCTGATCTTTCTATTCATCAAAAACGAGTAATTACATTTGTGCAAAGCTGATAGACTCCCTTGTCATTTATTTGTTTATGATCTCCATCTGAACACATTAAACTTAGTCAATTTAGTTGGTCTGTTGTTAATATTATTGTTGCAGCTGCTATGCTGTGTTTTTTACTGTTGTGATATGAAGATGAAATTAAATAAAAACTGAAGCAAAACATTAAATAAACATCAGTTCTGAATATTAGTTAAAGGACATAGAAACATACAAATAATTGACAACTACTGTATATTGGTTAGAAAAAATTCTCAAAAAATCATCACAACTATTTTCATAATTGATAATAATAATAAATGTTTCTTGAGCATCCAATCAGCATATAAGGATGTTTTCTGAAGGATCATGTGACACTGAAGTCTGCAGTTATGATGCTGAAAATTCAGCTTTGATCACAGGAATAAATTACATTTTACAATATATTCTAATAGAAAAGAGTTATTTTAAATTGCAATAATATTTCACAATAGTACTGTTTTTATTGTATTTTTGATTAAAATAAATGAAGCCCTGGTGAGCATAAAATACATTTATATAACATATATTATTATTATCTGACTTTTCATATATATTATAATCTAAACTTATGTAGCCACCACAGTGAACTATTAAAAAGAAGGGAAAAAAAAGAAACAAATGTATAGGCAGTGAAAGCTTGGTGTTTCGAGTAAAAAATACATTTTAAAAGGTTTATTTTTCCTATATAACCTAAATAACTCACTGATGAATAGGGCTATGCAAATGTGATATTCCAGTCAAAACACAAATAATGCAACTAAGACTACGTTTGCATGACAACGGTGTAGTCAAAAACGGACACGTTTTTCCCTTGCGTTTTTAAAAAGTTTCACGTATACACGACAACGTTTTCAAAATGATTCGCGTTTACACATATCTGCGAAAACAGCCAAAAACGCTGTATTACGTATGCCAGGCCAGTAGTTGGCGCTGTCACCTTGTTAGTAAACAATACCTGTAGAGAAGTGACGATTATATGATGTATATGATGCGTCTCTGCTGTTGGTTGTAATATTGGTGAAGTAAATCCACACTTTTCTGAAGAAGCGTTAGCAAACGCTTGAGCAGCAACAACAGTACCATGTACTCCGCCAATGTTGTGTATGTTTGTTCGCGCTTGTCTTTAAAATCAACATGTACTGCGCATGTCTGCATACCTAACACGTACTACGCACATGCATGACGTCACCGTTTTCAAAGATTCCCGTATTGGGTGTTTACACGGAAACGATAACGGTGCCATTTTCAAAAACTTGCACTTTGAAACCTGTTTTCAAAAATATGCGTTTTCAGTCCCCAAAATGCCGTTGTCGTGTAAACGAACAGTCAAGACGTGTAAAAAGTTTCCAGTTTTTGGCTGAAAACGTTGTCATGTAAACGGCCCCTAAGATCAAAACCCTGTTAATTCTATCATAGTAATTCAGCCAGGGGACGCGCATGTCCTGACACAGATTCCTGAGAATGACTCAAACACACACAAGCTCACACACCTGGCTGGCAGGTACAGGTGTAGTTTTGTCCTTCATCTCTCTGTCTGAGGTCAGTACAGGTGCCGTTGTTCTCGCAGGGCTTCAGGTGGCATGCGTCAAACTCCTCACAGTAGATCCCAGAATACCCATCATCGCACTGGCAGTAAAATGTGTCCTGTGATTCACATTTAAACACAAATCATCAAATGTTCACAGAATCTCTGGACAGAAAGCACACAAACATAACTATTATATCAACACTTTGGAAAGAAAAGCAGCACAGATCCAGGGTTGTAATACTGGTCCTTTAAGTTTTCCAAAAAGAGAAAATATGAGAACAAATAACACTTATTATGATCTGAGGTCATTACCACAGAGGACTGGGTGATGCATTTTCCTTTCCCAGAGCATTGTGGGTCGCTGAATCCAATGCCGGGCTCCATACAGTTATTGGTTTTTACATTGAGATGCAGCCTCAAAGTGACCTCCGGACCAGAGGGTGCACCAATGTGCAGCACACCTACATAGAGAGAGATAAACAAAAAAAAAGTCCATAGTTGTAATAGAGTATTTACAAATAATAAAAGAGTAACTTTTTTTTTCAAAGAAAGTGTGAGTTTAGCCACTGGAGTGCTTGCTAGGGTGTTGCTATGCAGGTGCTAATGTCTTCTGATGGTTTTTAGCTTGCTTGGCTGTTGTGTTTTACGTCTTCCGTTAGTTATTTAAAGCAAATCCATGTCATAAAATGTTAATAATATTGTGGATATTTTTTTACACAACTATAAACCTACAAAACACAATTTCCTTTTAGGCTCGGGTCCTGATATTTTATAACATCTGCTACGACAACAACAGTGTCTTCTTTCTCCCTCTCAGACATAAACAGACATATGCACACACACACAAACACACACACACACACAGCAATGCCTCAAGGACAGACATTGTTTGGCGCACAGAACCAGACAGGGTCAAATAAAAGACTCATCAATGCATCTGGAAGAATTCTGAATTGCAAACAAGTTGGAAACAGACATTATGCACAAGGATGTTTCAAAGGCAAAGTCCCAATTTGAAGCAAATAATTTCTCATACTGTGTGTGTGTGTGTATATATATTTTATATTTATTTGATTCAAAAATTGGGATATATATATATATATATATATATATATTCCTCCATGCTGCAGGCACATACATATGTTTGAAAACACACACTCACAGACACACACACACACACACACAGATCTCATCAAAATCAGTCACATGCCATGTCAATAAACTAAAGTCAGGAAAATTATGTAGCAAACTGTACAATGGGAACAACGTTAAGAACAAGATGTTTTGACTTTTATTCTTCCATGAATGTGAGGGCCTAATACATTTTATTTTATATATTATATTATGTTTTAATATAGTAATATTTTATTAATAAGCTTTATTAATAATTGATTACATTAAATATTTATTATAATATAGAAATCATAGTCAATGTATAATTGTCAAAAATGTACTATATTAAAGCTTTTTAAATAATTCATATGATCAAAAATATAGATTTATCTGTCATGTTGGCCAAAAATCATATGAAAAGTACTTTGAAATGATATGGTAAAATTGTCAATGTATTCCAAGAGTGTGGCTGTGGTTTAAATGTATAATGAATGTAAACTGTATAATTTATGTATATATTATGTTTTAATATAGTAATATTTAAGTTGTTAGTTTATTACATTAAATATTTATTAATATATAAATAATATCAAATGTATTCTATTCAATAATTTACTATACTACAGTTTTACTATATATATATATATATATATATATATAAAATATACTAAATAATTTGTATAATTTAAAATCTATATTTATCTGTTATGATGGCCAAAAATAATCTGAAAAGTACTTGGAAATTATATGGTAAGATTGTCAATGTACTCCAAAAGTGTGGCTGTGGTTTAAATGCATAATTTAATTATATAATCAATTAAACATATAATATAGATAACTGATTAATTATATTTCCATCAATATTTTGAAGATTTTTATATATTATTTAATATTTATAAAATTCTTTTTACTATATTATATTTTATTTTGCAATAGTTCATGGCTAGAAATATCCATATATGCTACAGAAAATAAAAATAAAAACACACTGAAAGCCCACAACTCTCTTATTCTAATATATCTTTCCAAGAAAAATACGACATGAGAAAGTTTCTTACTTCACAGCTGTTTCCTCTGCGACCTCCATGGAAACAGTCATCATTCCGGCAGACTCACCTCCGGCGGTACTCACACATTCGGCTTCATCAGTAATCTACAACACACACCCACACAAAATAAGCTACTCACAGGAGGAACCCAGCCGTCATGACACACCACGCTCACACAAACGCACACCTGCTCACCTGCTGATCCTCCCACAGTATCTCCACCGCTTTCTGACCCGGTTTGGGTCGCCACGGCTCCAGGGTGGGCGGAGCTTGAGTAGTGGCGGGTACTGTGGTTGGCTGGAACACTTGAGTGGTGGTCGCAGGTGTGGCGGGCGTGGCATGTTCTGGGACGAGGCTCTCGGCGAGGTCCCAGGTGGACTCGGACAGGTCAAAGGTCAAGGTAGGCAGGTCACACCGAACCCCGCTGTAACCCTCGCTGCACTCGCATGCAAACCCATCCCCCTCGCTGTTCTGGCTACAGTTGCCATGGAGACAGGGGCTGCTGGCGCATGGATCTGCAAAAAACTGCACCCGATAAAAACAACAAGAATGAGAGATGAAAACTGCATCATATTATCAAACATTTTAAATTGCTCCAGTCGCAGAGAACAGCAGCGAACGATCCAGCTTTCGTTTCAGGCAAACATCTATCGACTAACAATCACTTGGCCTGAAGAATGAGAACTGAGAGCAATTAATATACTGAAAGCACAGACGAGCACCGTTATAAATATGAACAATAGCAATAGAGCCGTCCCGCTCTGCCCGCAGGAACACCTGCACCAAAATCTACAGTGCTAATCCCTTTATTTTACAATTATGTAGTGATATTGATCCAATTACTCTAATTATGCTCCATTTCCTTTGGCAGGGGCATGCCTTCTTCCCAAGAGATAAAGTAGGACTTATATGTGCCATATTTGTGCATGTGTTCATCTGTAAGCTGTTTATACTCCATACTGTGTGTGCTGGCATATCATAAGTAATCTAACATAAAATGCTTCTACTGGATAATAGATGATATCAAGGATAATCAACAACATATGACCGCGGAGTTAAAATAGCTTCTGCTTTTATATAAGGATTTCTCTGTAGTACTGAATCAACATTCTCAGGCCCAAAATAACAAATACATGTTAGTAATTACTGTAAAATGTACAAACCATCATTCATTGAGAAAAACATGCCTGTGGCAAAATTATATTATGTTGCTTTTTGCATGTTTTGTGTCACATTAAAAGTGAAATGTCAGATGAGTGGTGCTAAAAGCATGTTCAGGTTTATCTGAGACAGACAGAAGTGAATCTGGCAATGTTTTATTACAATGTTGCATGTATTCTGAAATTAAATGGTGCTAAATGGTTAATGCTCTGATGCTTTTGAAATTCTACATTAAACCTGACCTTAAACCTAACCGATAGTGTCAACAAAAGCAAACCTGAGATAAAAACACATGTGCTGATGCAACCATGCCATGTTAGCTTGCTTCCACAAGTCTTTGAGTTCTTTTATTGTGATTTGTGTTTCACAGAACTCGTACCCGAGTGCTTTGTATCACAAAACTAATGCTTGTACCAGGTGCGCTAACAAGCAAGTTTACTACATCAGAAAAGCCTTACATATGGAGCTGGTTATGTAACACAAATGTCAAAATGTTTTAGTTTACAAATCATGCACTATGGTAAAAGTGTTTTGAAATCATGAAACTGCACACAAATAAGTCTTTATTAATCAATAATCTGCCATCATGATTTGTGTGAAAAGGAATGAACATTTATGTTGTTTTACTGCTACTAGTGATCATTTCAGAAACTGCAGTGAAATGCATGTAGAGGTAGAGGTCTGTAGAGGTACAGTGGGTACGGAAAGTATTCAGACCCCCTTAAATTTTTCAACATGCACTGTGAGCTGTAAGGTCTTATATAGACAGGTGTGTGGCTTTCCTAATCAAGTCCAATCAGTATAATCAAACACAGCTGGACTCAAATGAAGGTGTAGAACCATCTCAAGGATGATCAGAAGAAATGGACAGCACCTGAGTTAAATATATGAGTGTCACAGCAAAGGGTCTGAATACTTAGGACCATGTGATATTTCAGTTTTTCTTTTTTAATAAATCTGCAAAAATGTCAACAATTCTGTGTTTTTCTGTCAATATGGGGTGCTGTGTGTACATTAATGAGGAAAAAAAATTAACTGAAATGATTTTAGCAAATGGCTGCAATATAACAAAGAGTGAAAAATTTAAGGGGGTCTGAATACTTTCCGTACCCACTGTATGTTTTCATATGAGTCTGGGTTGAAAATTCATCAACTGTAAACAATTATGGTGTAAATAAAGTGCAACTAAGACTTTTTAGGCTGCAGAGAACATGAGATGTTATGTCCTTCTTCACATCTGTCCCTCGAGCCCCGTTATTAAGCTAATCAACTTACTGGCAATCACAGAGGCACATCTGAAGTGCACTACAGTACTTCCGCTGCACATGTTGAGGGCTACATGTTAGAGGCTCTCCTTGATCTCACCAGCCACATTTGCATTTTCACATCAGATGAAAAAAAAAACATACTGTGTTTTTAAATGTTGTTGTAAATGAATCTGCAGCGTCACTGTTCATCAAGTCCACCTGAGCTTTGACACCTGCAGCAGTTGATTCATTATTTTTTTTTTAATATGTATAAACAGGTAAAGATACATATCAATCAATATGAAGCATTCAATTATGGTCAGTACCGGTAATGAAATGATACATTTGTGTTCATAACAAAACTCTGATTTATTAAAAAATTGATGCTATTTGTAAAACTAATGGATAGTGGGGCAGGTTTTATCCCATGAATCAAGAATCAGTGAGCTTTTTTTTTCTGCTGCTCTAAATCTGTGGTCCTCAATGGGTGGGTTGTGACCAAAAATTGGGTCATAGTTCTCTTCTTATAACTAACCTAAATACACATAATTCTATAACCATATAATCATGCATTGCTAGGATATCTTGTTATAGGCCATCCAATGTATTATTATGAATCTGGGTCCTAAAGAAGTAATTTACAGGATCTCTCCCTGCATCACAGTCTACTGATGGAGAATATTAAAAAGACCAGGAGGCCTACAATGAGAGAAAGGTAGGGCGGCTGAAAAAGAAAGCAGAAATTGTGTGGGGAGAAGAAAAGGTCATGGGTGAGGAAAATACCTTCAAAGTGCGAAGCAATGGATGAAGCGTTTACAGTATCAATCTCTCACAATTCGCAACTCAAGATTTCTCACCAGACCTGCTCTCACCGACATTAACACATCCCTGACCTTTGGCTTCTTCAGTCTGATTTTAACAGAGAGCCTCCTCTAATGTGAAGAGCTGTGGACTGCTTTCAACCCAAGATATTTATCCTATAGAGACAATGTTTAATTTTCTTTCACTGCGATTGAAGAAAGTATTTCAAAAACCTTTCAAAAACCCAAAAGGTTAGGTACACATCATCTTGCAGCAAAGATCTTCACTTATTCTCTTTCCCTATTTTTAAAGGTCAAATTGCTACTAAATCATGCTGAAATGTCTCCTCGGACATGAATAACAACTCGTGGTCGCAAACTTGAAAAGGGTGAGCTTGTCTTCCTGATTCATATTGTAATTTAAAACAGAAGTTCTATGATTGAGTTGACATTTTAATTCTGCACATTTCTATGATATAATAAAGCAAAACTGTACTAAAATAAATTCTCAAATTAATGCTGATTTATACATTTAACACTTTACTTAGATTATGTTAAAAATTGTTTTATTAAAGAAAATGCATAAGACTGTTTATTTTGTATTTAGTATTTTTATTGTTTAGATTGCACCCTGGACCACAAAACCAGTCAAGTAGCACGGGTATAATATATAATAGCCAACAATACATTGTATGGTTCAAAATTATCGATTTTACTTTTATGCCAAAAATCATTAGGATATTAAGTAAAGATCATGTTCCATGAAGATATTTTGTACATTTTCTACCGTAAATGTATCAAAACGTAATTTTTGATTAGTAATATACATTGCTAAGAACTTAATTTGGACAACTTTAAAGATGATTTTCTCAATATTTAGATTTTTTTGCACCCTCAGATTCCAGATTTTCAAATAGTTGTATCTCGGGTCATATATTGTCCTATCCTAACAAACCATACATCAATGTAAAACATATTTATTAGGGCTGGGTTTTGACACAAATTTCACGATTCGATTCGATTCTCATTCACAAGCTTTCGATTCGATTACCAATTCGATTCAATATCGATTATTTTGGATATATATCAGGTACGGTACTTGCCGTACTCTCTCAACTAATGCTGTAAAATATACATGAGAGTCATTTGGTACTACATTACTATAATATTGAAAGTTAAAATTGACTGATTTGTAAGCTATAGCCTACAACTGCTAAAATTACACTTAAAATAATTTAGTTTTTAAAATAATAAAGTTACAATTACATAATAATATTTTTACTTCAATTCGGTTTTTTTTTATATATATATATATAAACATTTAAATGGTGGCTGTAAAAATAAATTGATGGATTATTCAAATATAAATTAAACATAAGAACAGTAAAAAAAATTATAATATGTTATATTATGCATATATTTAGCAACATGAGCTAATGAGTTTATGGTCACCGAATATGTTTGTTTCTGAGGTAAATGTGACGTTACGTGACATTGTTTACAAGACGTTATATTGACGTCTTTGCGCAGCTGAAACAGCTTGTAAAGTTGTACTCTTTCTTTTAACTTACCTTCGGATGTTTAGTCATGTTTATTTTGTGCTGAAACTGGTATTAATGTGGAGGAGATGATCAGTTCACGTCTGTTGAACTGAGGCGCTACAGCGATCTGTCACTCCACATTAAACAGCGCCAAAACGGCATTTATTGTTTAAATACTGCAATACAATGGATGGACAGAATTTGAAATCTGAGACTTTGCTTCATATTAAAAGCACCAAAGCACAATGCTTATTGCGATTTATTGGATGGGAAGTGCCCTTCAATGTTCCGTCCATTAACTGAAAACAGGCTAGACTAATCGATTCTTGGGATTTAAGAATCGATATCGTTCCGTAAAAAAGAGAATCGATTAATATCGAGATATTGATATTTTTTTTTACCCAGCCCTATTATTTATAAAGCTTTCAGATGATGTATGAATAAAAAAATTGACCGTTATGACTGGTTTTGTGGTCCAGGGTCACATTTTATGTATAATCATTTTCTATTCTTAAATGTTTTAATTCATTTTAAATAATTTGAATAATACGTTTTTGAATTCCTTGTTTTTATTGTTGTGATTGCTATTTTTTAACGATTATTTGAATCCCTTTTATGTAAAGTAGACTTCTTTCAATTACCATTGTGTATGAAATGTGCTATATAAATAAACGTGCCTTGCCTAGTATTTAATTTTTATGAAAAAACATGATTCTGCACATTTCTATGATATAAACCAAAATTGTACAAAAATGTCAAATTCCTATTGATTTTTA